TATTTTCCATTAAAATTTATTTTTCACAAAAGACTACAATACCAGCTAGCTTCCTTCAGAATTTAGACTAAATGTTCTGAGATTTGTGCTGTCATTCTGGGAATACATCTATATTCTGAGAAAGACAGGCAGTGACACCATGGTAGATCTTTTGCTTGACTTAAGTCAGAATTTTCACCCTAGGTGTTCACACTGCTGAATTTAACAGAGTATGTAACTCTAAGAAAGGGAACCAAGCCTAGATGTGTATCCACCTAGACGTTCATATACACATATATATTGTAAGCTGCTGTCAAATAATGGAGTAGGGTGAGAATTTTGTGGAGTTTGTCCTTACACAGCGGTTTAGGAAAACATGTATAAAGCCACCAGGCTTATTCACTGGGCACCTGGGAGTGAGGTGTCACTGAAATTTCGGAACATGTGCTTTCCACAGCTTGTGTGAATACCGAAAAAAGCAAGTGTGCAGAAATGCGCCTGTTTCCCAGGATAAGACTGCACAATTCAGAGTATGTTAAGGATACTAACAGATGACCTACAGTGAGCTATACACTGTGCAATCTAAAGCCAAGGGCTTTACGTCTGGCTTAGAGATTTTGAATGGTAACACACTTTTCAAAGAGCCTCAACGTAATTAGCCTTTCGCTCCAAGTTGACACACTTACACTTTTAATATCAGGAATAAGGAAAAAGACTAAGGCTTCTAACCTCAAATCCATAGCAGCTTAGGCACTTTCACCTCGCTGGTTTTGTTATGACAGCTCTTTGTTTGGCTGATAGTGAGTGGTGTTTTGAATAGAAGTGCTTTTGCTGCGTGCTTTGCTATTTTCCCGTAATAAGGGAGGACTTGGAGGTTATGCAGCAAGGTGCTAATTGACATTAACACTCAAGACAGGAAATGCTGACACAATTTAAAATTAACATCCTGTCAATATAGTGCTGACCTGTGTTAAATGTGTGCTTTGTCAAACTTTCAGAATTTGATTTTAATATAGAAACAGTGTAATGCTGGGAGTATTGCTGGTCTCAAGAAAACTAAATTTAATACAGTGAGAAGCCACCCAACTCTTTTCTGTTTTATCTTACCTTTTCTCAAAGAGGGAAATTTGAATTTTGCCCCAAAAGGTCAAATAAATATAAAGCAGTCTAAGAGAGCTAAAAATGATACAGTATTTGTTCATGATCAATTGCTAAAAGAAACTGTCCCTCAGTTCTCAGTTTATTTTAGATGTTGGTTTACCAATGACAATGATTCCTGGAAATGGATTTTACAAAAGACTGTAGCATATATATAGCATCTTGCACCAAACTAGGCTATCCTGGTAACCTACCTACAAATTAATATGAAAAAAAGGTGACAGAAAAAAACATACAGCAAGGGACCATAAAAGTGGCTTCTTTGCAAGTGCGTTACTCACTCCTTAGCAAAGCAGGTATGAGGATATTTCTGCTTCCTACTGACTCCTAGGAGAACTGGAGAAGGAAAAATGGTATCATGCCACTAGTTCTCCAAAGAAACAGTTACCAGGTGATACGGTGTTATTTATCAATAGTCATTAAAAGGTACAGAAGTAATCTTAAAGTACAGTGCAGTTCTGGGATGCTGCTGTACTTTTCCTTTTGTTTATGGATGATCATAGGTAATTTCATACATAAACTGTCCCACTGACTGCTCACGTGAGAAGCTCTGGTGGTACTTGCACAAGGAGTGGCCCACAAATGGTGCTGTTTGCTGTCAAGCAAGTCAGAGCCTCCTCTTGGGGAAGGTGGAAGGCACGAGTCAGAATAATGCCAAATGAGAGCAACAGAGCATGCTTGGGTGTGGTCTGATCTGTGGAGGAGGCTGTTTGCTGAACATTAATCAGAGGTTGTCCCGGGTGCTAGGAACAGCACGAAAAGAGGCACGAAGCCAGGAAAAGGTGATGAAGAAAAAGGAAGCAATCAGAGAAGATTGGGCTGCATGGAGGCAGCACGAGGTGGAGCAAGACAGTCCGAAATGAGAGAAGTTGGTAGGGGCAGACCTGCGCAGGCTCAGGGAGTGTAGAAATCTTTCAGGAAGCTGGTGCAAGCTACATATCACTCCTGGCAAACTTTCTCTAAGAAAACAGTAAGTGGGTGGCCCATTGCTATATGCGCTTCCCACTGACGGTTCCTGGGAGCAGGCCAATATTGTGTGTTGCAGTTAAGGTTACAGCGAGACTGGAAAAATATTGGCTGTAGCCCTGGTTCTGCAAATTGTTTGCACAGGGCATCTATTGCCATTAATAACTGAGTGCTCTGAAAGGCGGCCGCTTCAGATGGTGTGTGTGAAACAGGGGAAGGTGCTCCCATGGGGAGACACTGCTCTGCTGGAAAGTGAGTCTTTAGATCAGCTGCCACATTAGGTGGAAAAATCTCTAAAGCAACAGCCACTGGGTGATCTTATCCCGTGTTACAAGGTACTAGTTGGGCTTGTAGGACGGCCGCTCTGAGCTGGGGCAGAAGAAAATGAAAACTGTAAATGGAACACACATTGGAGACTTGGGCCTTTTTCTCTGAAATCATTTGGCAAAGGACTCTCTGAGCAAAATAGTCACCATCAAATGGGCTGTGTTTTGCTCTGGTTCAGTCCTTTCCCACAAAAAATAAAGGATTCTTATTTCCCATTTTTCTTGTACAAAAAAACAGAGCAATTTCTTAGTAAGGAACTCAACTATCATGGTCACACTGTGCTCTTGGGGAGAAAAAAAAATTGCCTTCCACTACAAAATGTTTACATTGGCTGCCGAGGTTTCTCCTGATTTCCTCTGTTGGGAATGAATAATTAAGAAGTGAACCGAGAGGTGAAAAAGGCCTCTGTGTTTAAGTCTAATGTCACAGCTTTCCAAGGACAAAGCTTTTAATACATAGAAAGGTTTCTCTGTCAAGCAGATGAATTCAATAGCTAAGCAAGACGCCAAGAAGAGGAGTCAAACAAAGCAGAGAATTCCCAGTAGGAAGCTTTTAGTATGCACTTACGACAGGTATTGCATGAAATGGATGCAGAGCACACGTATGTGGGACACACAGGCAACACACATAAGGTGTTAATAGTCTAAGCTGATGCCAAGGAAGAAAAAGAGCAGACAGGGTCAGCTACTGTTTCCTGAGCTAAATGTTCCTTTTCTTATGGTGGTCAGAGCCAGGGGTAGTTTTACAATGTGCAAAACATGCACTCCTAATTAAAATGAAACTCACACTGACAGAAAAAAAAGGGGATGGCGAATGTTGACCTCACGTGCTGCATCTGTAGAGCATTTGGGGACACATTCTTTTAGCAAAAGTGATGTTGGCTTTTGATATTCTTTTTTAATAAAAGGTGAACAGGAATGAAGTTCTGTGTTAATTTGTATGCACTGCATGAAGCCATTTCTCAGGAGAAGGCAGTGCTGATGGTACTTTAGAATAGAGAACTACCCTTCTATATTTTTAAATTTTCCATCCTTCTATTTAAAAACAGGGATGTTGCCATTGCTTGTAAACAGTGGAAATTAAAACAGTAAATAGGAGAAAGAAAAAAAATAGAAAGGTTTTACTTATCTGTTCTGCTTCTTTTCTGCTGTTAGGCTTTTCAATACTATGTTCACATAGCTATTTAGGCAGGTAGGTTTCCAGTGTACCTTACTAACACACCTACCCAAGTTTGGCTTGTAAATCCCTGTGGAAATCTGCCCTTTTGAAATAAGGCTTGGAATAGGAGCCACTGAAAACTTTGTCTGTCCATTTTTCAGACACACCTTGGCTGATATAGGTGAACCCACAGAGAGAAAAGTGTGGAATTTCTGTGCCAGAACCAGTGTGCCACTGACCCTCCTTGATGGGGGATGGAAAGCAGTTTGTATGAATACGGAGGCTCAGATCCTCAGCTGTTGAGTCGTGGCTTGAGCTGTGCTTTTCTGCTTGCCTGGGGGTAAATCTTTCCCCTGGTCTTTTGAATTTAAGATTCATGGGGAGGACAGGAAAGTCTGCTCCCTGCTCCCAGCCCTCCTTGACTTTTTAATCTCCTGCACTAACCAAAGAATCAACAAGTATATCATCTTCCTCAAGCGAGATAAGATCCCTTAAGAGGCAGAGCACTCTGCCTTCCAACAAACTCATGCATAAAAGGTTAATTTAGAGCGTGCAGATATCTGTGTATGTTGGGCAGATGGAGAGCTGGAGGGATTCTTTTTATTCCTCCCATTCTCTTAGTGTTGGCTAGTGAGTGCAGGTTGAACGTATGACTTTACATTACGGAGCACCTCTCCATCACCCAGGCCTTTTGTCAATTCACCAAATGTGACAATTACAGCATTTCAGAGATGAGACTTTCTAATCCTATTACTCATTCATCAACCTGCGGATGATAGCAGAAGCCAGATCGAACAGTGCCAAAAGAGCAGTGAGGAGCCTTCTCCAGTGCTGTGAAACTAGGCTTAGCTCAGGCACAATAGGTGTGTAATTTAAGGTTTTGTTGAGCTGAAATCCAATCACATACTTGACTGGTAGATCACAGAAAGACACAGACAAAAAGAATGAGATAATTCTACCTCACACAAACACTTGAATCCGACTTTGACTTAATAACAAGTGTGTGATCAACCTTACACTGTTTCTTTCATATTTTTTTTCTATTTGAACCTAGAGATAGGATGGCACTGAAATACTTTACCTACTTGGGTATCAGCCAATAATATATTTATAAAAAAAAAAAAAAAACAGAAGAAAATGGAGGATCTTGCTTGGACAAATAAATGGAAAATGTACAGATGTTCATTACATGAAAGATAATATGAAAATGTAACTTCTGGGTTTAGCTCAGTGCTATCTCGTCAGCACCTGGTACCTATTGCTTTCCCAAGGATGGAGAGGTTCTAGCAGAAATATGAGGAGAACAAAGCCAAAAAAGTTCAACCTTGACTATAGAAGGAAAAAGTATACTGCAATCCTTACCATGCTCTCTCTCGAAACTAAAATACTCCTTTTCCTTTGTCCTATTTCAGACACATGCTGCAATTTCAAGAGGAACAGTGGGAGCTCTCGTGGATGGGCGAAGTGGGCGCCGAGGTGCTGCTGCAGCCGTGTGCCACTGCAGGTCACATAACCATGCACGGGGGGGTGGGAACATGAGGGGGAGGGATGAGGGTCTTAGCCACTGTCTTTTCTGGAAACAGGAAAGTGGATTCATTCTGTTCTGTGTTTAAAGAGGTAGCTTTTCATTATTTAGATTCAGTTTTGTAAAGGAGAATGTACAATACAGCCTGCTTGAGGAGTGGCCTTTACATATTAACAAAATAAAGTGTAGGGCAGGTAAGTTAAAAGCTTTGGTAGGAAAATTCTCTGCATTAAGAACATTCACATTTATGGCCATCGCCATCATCAGTGCTGTTATTCCATACGGTGTAGCAGTCCAGCTTCTCTGGCCAAGTAAAAGTCCTCTGTCAAGACCAAACTTCAAAAAAAAAACATTTCCATAGTTTTGGTGTCCATCTTTGAACTAACAAGTTCAGTGGAATTAACAATGCATGCAACTTGGTACTAGCTTGTAGGTGTCATGAACTGGACACTCAAAAATATAGAGACCCCAAACTAAAGGAGACATTAAAAACACGAGAACAAACCCACTGCTAGGGAAAACGGCAAAAAGGTTTAATGACTCAGGTCTGGCAGAGGAGCAAGTGCTCTAGTATAAAAAGGTTTGGTTTCTTGTTTGTTTGGTTTTGTTTTGTTTTGTTTTTTTTAAAAAAAAAAAATGCAAATCAAGAAATGCCTTCAAGCCACATGACTTGAATGGCTATGTAAGGCTTCAGATGCCTTAGATCCAGTTACATGAGCACTGGGCCACTAGCGTGCAATCAGCAGTGGCAGCCTGTGGGCGTGGGCAGGGCATAACTCACCTGGAAGCCAGTCCTCAGAGCTAATCTGCAGCAACAGGTAACACTTGTGCTGTCCTTGTGCCAAAGCAGAGGAGCCAAGCCCAGGTGTCAGTAATGCAGTGATTGGCAAAAACAACCAAGAAGTTCAGAGACATAAAAAAGAAGGGGAATCCTGGGGGTCAAAGAGTTAAAATGAAGTTTGAAGCTTGGCATTAGTCATAAGAGACCAAAATCCAGGCAATGTTTTCCTAACGAAAAAGTAAATAAATTACCAGTTTGCAGGATATTAGACTCAAAAGCATACAGAAACAACTTAAAAGGAAAGATTCTTTTTTTTTCAGTAAGTGAATTAGTGGAGGAAAATCCCACAACAATGAAACTCATATTCAAACATGACAGAGAGATATTTACAGAGGTTCGTAGGAGTATGAGGAGATTGAGATATGTTCCAAACAGAGGGGAAAAAAATAAGATCTCCACAACACAGTATAATCTGAGAAGCTCAGATGGAGTCTAATGTGGTTCCCAAACTGCAGAGATCTCATAAACATAGAGATTTCATTCAGCAATATAAACTCTGACATTTGACCAGACAATTGCCTTGGGGGCATTAGCTAAAATAGCCTTAGCTTTAAAATTGAAATATGAACTTCTGAAGGCTTTGGTAGTTGCTTTCCAGTGACACTGAGACAACCAATATGAATAGTGGCTGCTGGATATATCAGCATCCCTAATTTAGGGAGAGGCTGGTGATTTTGGCTGTTTAGCCACAGATACCCTCTCATCTAAAAACGTTCTTTCGCTTTGGTTTGCACATGTAGGTAGCTCAGCTGTCTGTCACCAACATGAAGACAGGTTTAGCTTTCACCACCCTTTTTGCCCGTCCAGGAGCCAAACAGCGTGGTTGTTAATGGCGCGTAGCAGAGCCGGTGTGCCGGGGCGGCAGTGCTGCTCCTCGGATGTGGCGCTGGCAAGGGGGATCCCGGGGAGCCTGGCTCCTTCTGTGCCCTGGGGAGTGCCTGTGCAGGGTAGCATGGAGGCTGCTGTTGCCTTCCACATTTTTGGGAGGAGGCAGCAGGCGTTTACCCTCTCACCCAGCACGTGGGTTTTATTATTCCTTTTTTTCCAGTAGAATACAGTTTGGGTTCCTCTGTGCTGCGAGCCTCAGCCTGCAAGCAGCAACCCACTGCGGAGCAGACCCCGAGGGCGAGCAACAGTTGCCAGAACAAACGCGATTGTCAGTGGTCTTGGGGGGCTGCAAGTGCTCTCTGTGGGAGCTGTTTGATGTCGCTGACCCCACACTGAATCAGGACGGGAAGGAGGAAACTGCGTTCAGCACTACCTGTATAAGTACATCTGCTAACAACCTGTGCCTGGTAAGGTGTAAATGTATGCACAGTTCAGCACTTCAGCAAATGCTCTCCCTTTATAGACATGCATGCACCCTGCTATTGTATTTTTAATAGGCCTGCTCTTTTCATGATGGTATACAGCTCCAAAATCCTACCCAGATTAACAGTGAGAAATAAATGCTTTTTGTTGCTGTTGGTTTCTCGATATCCTGGAGGAGCAAGAATGGTACTGGTTTTAGTTTGTTTTAGACTGCAGGTGAGCATCTTCTCCTCTGCATAAGCCCATGACCCATCTCTCCTCTAGCTACCAAATCAACTGCTGGGGCAGCTATGTGATTTTCCTGATTTTGACCAATATAATAAAGATGATGATCTAAACCAGCTTACAGATCATGCTGTCCCCCTGACCACAAAGTAACTTGCTTTGTGTCCTCCCAATACAAGGAGAAGGTAAGGACCTAGTTGGTAATATTGTCAGCGTGGTCCCTTAAACTCCATGGGGTCATTCTCTCTGCACACCAGCTCTGTGTGCCGCCGGTCTCTGCTGACTTCAGCAGGGCAGCATGTGGGGAGCAGAGTCAGCTCAGTAGTTTGCCAGGTACTGCACATCTGGACTGGATGTCTGTGGCCAGGTGTTGGTAGCAGGGATGGCTTCTGTGTGAAGAGACCAGGGGCTGCCCCATGCCAGACAGAGCCAGAACCATCTCTGCAACGGACCCACGGCAGGGCACAGCTGAGCCCATCAGCAGAGCTGGTGGCACCTCTCTGGAAACATAAGAAAGGGCAGAATGTTGCACAGGCAGTGAGGAGTGAGGTAAAAAAGTGTGAGAAACAGCTCTGAGAGCACCAAAGTCAGAGAATAAGGGGGAGGAGGTCCTTCAGGCTCTGGAGCAGATGTTTCCTTGCAGCCCACAGAGAGGACCAGCGTGGAGCAGGTACTTCCCAGCAACCCATGGAGGACAATGCCAGAGCAGATATCCATGGTGCAGCCCACGGGGGGACCCGTGCTGGAGCAGGTGGACATTCCCCAAAGGAACTGCAGCCCATGGAGGTCCTGTGCAGGAGCAGGTTCTCCTGGCAGGAGCTGTAGCCTCCACAGAGAGCCCACGCAGAAGCCGATTTATCCTGAAGTACTGCAGCCATGGAAGGATCCACACTGAAGCAGGGGAAAAGTGTAAGGAGTAGCAGAGAGGAACTGTTATGGAACTGCAACCCCCTGCTCCCCATTCCCTCTGCACTGCTTGGGTGAGGGGGAGGTAGAGGAGTTGGGAACAAAGGAGGGAAATTAAACCTGAGAAAAAGGGGTGGCAAGGGGGAAGGTGTTTTAGTTTTTGTTTCTCATTACCCAAATCCATTTTAACTGGCAATCAATTAATTTTCCCCAAGTCCAGCCCGTTTTGTCTGTGACAATAATTGGTAAGTGATCTCCCTGTCTTTTATCTTGAGCCATGAGCTTTTCCATCTTATTTTCTCCTCCTGTGCTGCTGTGGAGGGGGAGTGAGAGAGTGGCTGGGTGGGCATCTGGCCAAGGTCAACCCATCACCACAATATAAGAGTTTCAGTAGGAAGAAGGATCTGAAGTTGAGTTGTATAACCAAGAAGCATACATTAAGTATTCTTGTGTCTACCTGGAGTGTGCGGAGTGTGCAGTTTTGGCAGTGTCCAGAGAGTAAGGTGGAGTATGTGTTATAATGCAACAAATTTGATCCTTCTGTAACTTCTGAAATCAAACCAGCCAGGACAAACACCACTTCTGCCCCCTTGCCTCCCTTGCACTCTCCCTTTGCCCTGCCCTCCGGGGCCCTTTCCAAATCCGTGTAAGCAGTGGCAGCCCCAGCTGCCTCGCTAAAATCCTGCTCTCTGCAGTAGCCTTTAAAGGTCAGCCACCATGGGCCAGTGGTGGCTGTTTTAGCATGACTCTTTTTGTCTTCATGCCCTTTCCCTCGGTTCTTTGTCAAACTCAGAAAAGCTCTTGAGGGCCACAGAACTGGGGGCAGGTTTGGCCTCAAAGAAATTTAAGTACCATGTTTCTGTCTCTAGATCCCAGATTGTTGCTGTCTGTTGCTGTAAAGTGTCAGACTCTATATTGGTTGGTAGCTAACAGCAGCAACACTTAACGAACTTGAGTGAGGATGATGTTTAAGCATTTCTCATCCTAAGGAGCTACCATGGCAGCTGTGGAAGGCTCCTATGGTCTGGGTGTGCTCTGAATAACCTCTCTCACTATGGTTCACATTAAAAATTTTGATTATCTGTCAGACTCCTGCTCCCCTTCTCTTGAGCTATCAGAGTTGCAACACTCTGTAGAAGTCATTTACTTGCCAGCGGTACCGTTAGCCCTTTGTGAACAATTAAGCTGAGGTCGGAGGTTGTAATATATCAAATTTGCGGACCGTATTAAATTTTATTTTTACTGAAAGGAACTTTTTGTCTCTTTTATCAGGAGGAAAATTAAGCTGTGAACTGGAATTCCATCAGGCTGTCTACTGTGAAGCCCTGTGGCTTTAGCAAAGGGGCAGCAGTGGTCAGAAATGACACTCAAAAGGTAAATTTATTTCTTTTTTATTAAAAAGGATAAGTTATGACCTGTACAGTATATCTTAAAGAAGGAGGGAAGTTAACATGATACACTGTATTTTCTCATTTCTTTTAAAAAGCCTGATCTTGCAACGGGCAGAGAAGTTCTGGATGGGAGGGGAAGGGGTGCTGAGCTACCACTGAAGTTGCAGGGTATGGACATACCCACCCTCCATGCCTGCCCCACTGCCAGCAGCCTCTGTTTCTGGTTATTAGATGAAATGCTGGAACTTCTCTTCTGGTCTGAAAAGGGCATGGAAGTGAGAGCTAAATATTCTGACTAATTATAAATGGATAAGGGGTTCAGGATAGGCTTTTGGAAAAGATTGTCTGTTTGATTCTGGAGTTGAAAGTTTCTTGAGGTAAAGTTTTTAAAACCTTAGAAAACACATCTTTAGTGTGGGCCTCTTCTCTCACCAAACCCACTAGAAGTTTTGCCATTTTGGATCACATTCAAAAGTTCTGTTCAAATCTACTGTCTTTGTGAATTTTGCCATTCTAAATAATTGTTATTTAATAAATTAAAATAATTTTACTATAAAACCAAACTACATTGAAACCCTGTGTCATTCTCTGGTTTCCAGAGAACAGACATTTCAGAGTCTAACCACCAAGTTAGAAATTCCCAGACGTGCTGGATATGAGGTCAGCACCCAGCCAGGCTGATGCTGGCTTTCACCTCTCCAGGGCTGTATTCTATAGTTCGGGGGAAGGATTGTCTTTAGGACCTAAGCATGCAAGTATGTGCTTGTTCTCTTCATATGGGTAAAAGATATCCCCTTCTGTCTTGCACATATATCAAAATATATGTGCGAGCCTCAGTAACTTGCATGCGGATCTTATCGCTGTTTACGCAACCTGCTCTGTTTGCCTGCGTCTGGCCCGCTGTGGTTTACACACAGACGTATTTGATTTTGTGGGCAGTGGCTGGTGATACCAAATTAGACTACCAAGATCCAACGACCTTTTCATTTTTCTATAAGATTAAAGGTTTGCCCTGCTATATTTGTCGTGGATCTCTCCTCTTTGCTGCACAGTGTTACGTTCCACTCATCCATATCTCGTGTGTTTCCACCTTAAAGAAGGTGAAATTTCCACAGCAAGAAAAGGGATTCTATTGTGCTCTGTATAATTTGAAAAACACCCTGTGGGATGAATTGTGCAATTTTAATATTCATTATCTTAAATGTAGACAATAGAGTAGACCTAGTAGGAAAGACTGATTAGCAGATCACTGAAGATAGTTTTTTCAACTTGGCACATTATTTGGTGATAAGCAAGTAAAACAATTTCTCAAGACCTGAATCTTTGGTATTCAAAAATGCAATGTAATGGCTGTAATCCTTCAGTAAACGTACACATTCTAGCTCAAGAGCCAGTAAACATACACATGCGGGCTCAAGAGCCATGCACGGACAGAACTGACTTCATTTGTAAATCGTGGGCCTTACCGGTTAGCAGCTGAGACCAAGAGATTTCTGTTGCTCCCTCCAACTCTAAATGAAAGACTGGTTCAGAAGGGAGAGGGAAAAAGGAGTATGCAATCAGTCCATAAAGTGAATGGCAATGTTTTAATCACAATGCTATTGTTATTCTTCCTGTTTGGCTGTTTGTGGTTGTGTAGTTTACATATTCATTCCTTTAATTCTCACAAAGGTTTTGTTGTTGTTTTTTTGTTTGGCAAAAGTTTGACTCCAAAAGGAGGGCAAACTTGTCATTAACAGGTTATAAGAGAAAGAAAAAAAAATGAGTGGTTTTCTCTATATTCAAATATTTCTGCGGGTAAGGATACAAGGTGGGTATAATTTTGTGGAAATAGAGATACAAAGATTTATTTGTAGACAAGTGCAAGTGAAATTATGTGTGGCAGTACAGTTTGGGAGTGTAATGAAATTTATCCAAGGAAAAAACTTTTCTAACCATATACCCAATGCAGTCAAAGCAAACTGATAATTTTCATAAAGGCTGCGGTACTTGCCAGTTCCCTTTTTCAAGTGAAGCTTTCCAGGGTATTCACTCTGTTAAAAATGTCAGTGAAATACAGTACTACGTACTGGGTTAATTCCTTTCCTATAGAAGACATGTATTCACAATAGTTTTTGTTTGTTTCTTTTTAGCAAATAACATGTAATTCATAGCAGACTTCCAGCTCCTGTCAAAGAGAGAAGATGCTTTTGCTTCACGCAACCTTTACATCTAAGGAAGTAAGTCAATCTCCTTTTAGAAACACTACCACAAATACAACCTCTTGACTAGGTCTTTATGTCCTCCTGTCATGCATTATTCTTATTACATGGACACTTCTCAAGGTTTTGTGTCAGTATGGATTAAATTTATAAGACCATACTGAGACAGTGCGCATAGCTGCAACGTCTTCCATCTCCATGGTTGCTTTGAGGAAAAATAGGATTCCACTTCTTGCTCTGAGGTCAGGACAGTGTTAAAGGTCTTTCTTCAAGCCTAAGCCAACCTCTGGTATTCTTGGGAGATGCACATTATGTACTGGAGCAGACTGGGATAGTGCATGAGCACAGACTGGGGCTTGGAAAATGGGGTTAAGGATGATTTAAGGAACTTTTTCTTTCATTGTAGAGTTAAAGCCGTAACTGTCAACTCAAGCAGCAGCGCTCTGATGCCTTCTCAGAATTACGGTGTTCTGTGCACCTACTACACACGATCGGGGAGCGGGGGGAGTCCACTGCAGACTCCACTCGTGTAAGCTGTCTCCAGCTGTCACTAGAGATACTGAAAAGCAAGTCACCATCACAGGTATTTCCTGCTGCCGTCAGATGATGTGTAGTGACTAAAAGGGTTGCCAAGGATGAGAAAAGAACAGGCTGCAACAGCCAATATTTAATAAGTGCATCCTGAGTTTTTTCAGAGCCATTTCCATATTTATACATACTATATTTTAATATGGCTGTGCTTGCCCATCTACTTTTTTTCCTAGCCTATGCTGTCTCCAGGCCTGAGAACTTTGTCTTTTCATTGTGTTCTGTCTCACAGGCATAGTATAATGACAAACCAATTCCCTTGCTTCCTAGTTAATGAATAGTCTCTAGTTTTTTCAGGCAGGAGTGTTAAAGAAAGCCTAGCTTTCAGCTATTAAAAATATTCAGTGATATTTATGACAGATTTTCCACTTCTTCCTTCCTGCTGCACATAATCTTCAAGATCATTAAAGGGAAATTCTGAGATTTGCCATGCTCAGTGCTAATGTAGCACTTGTTTCATAATGAAGCTTGAAATGGTGGGTTTTTGCTCTGCACACGATTAATGCTAAAGTCCACATCCTTATCTGATAGAAAACACCAAGAGCTCCACTGAAGTAAATGAAGTTAGGATAATTTGCATCGGTTGAGGATGTGGCCCTATATCTGGTTGACATTATCATGCCTGCTACAGTAGAGACACCAGCTGGGGTGCTGTTGTTTCATTCCCGTGTGGGGTAGGAAGGGCCTCAGTGGGGGAGAATGAAAGCGGAGAACAGCCATTGCTAGCACAAGTTAGGAATGAGCTGCCTGAAGTATAAGAAGATTGAAATAAAAAGGAAAACTCACCATAACATAGTGAGATGCAACTGAAAGGACGTGAACTTGGTGAGGTTGCCTCGCTTCATGTTACTCTAGAGGGACTAGTGCTTCGAGCAGTTCCTCCAGCCCACGTCTGTGATCAGGGATGGGAAACTTCTCCCATGCCCTGGGGTTTACAGGTCAAATTAAACTGCTTAGGGGCTGTACCTCAAAGCCATATGGAGGCTCTAACTACTGCTGTGCAAAATGCCCTGTTTCTCAGGTGGAGCTGGCAGGAACCAGTTCTTCAGCAGCTGGGTTAGCCTTCTATTTGCATTTGGATGAAAACCAAGAGGTTGGTTTTTTTCTCTCTGACTTTGGATATAACTCTCCTCATTTAAGCTGTCCTACTTCTTAAACATTGATGCTATTTGCAGTGCTGTAGCTACCTGGTTCTAGGCTTTTGTCTCAGAACACTTGTGCCATAATATTCTCCACTGGAGGAGTCTTGCTAGAGGCACCGTTTCCCCTCCAGCCCCAAGGAGAACACATCTTGTCTCTGTGCCACAAAGGAAACTTCTGCGATTGTCATTCTGTCCAGCATGACTGAAATAGCTGTAAAATATGGTATGCATTTTTAGTGGGTTACAACCACGTTCTCCGAGCTGAAGGAAGAGAGCCTATACAGCAAAAGAAATAATGTTTTTACTCAAATTTTTTTTTTCCACAAAATAAATTTTTGCAGTAGCTTTCATTAGTAATCTTCAATAAAATAAAACCTTATAAATACTCAATCCAGCTGCTGTTAAAATAAGAACAGAATTCCTATTGAATTGAATGAGGTCAGATTGGGGCTCCAAGTGAAGGTCAATACAGTTTTTAGTTCCTTCTTGCCCGATCCAGCAGTTACACATAGGAAAGTTGGCCAGCTGTGAGATGGCGATTTAAGAAGGATGGCTATGCCTCAGGATCCATCGCTCCAGCTGTCTCAGGCTGTTCTGGTGAGGCAGAGGTTTGTGCTTTTCAGCCCAGGGATAGGGAATTACAAATGTATGCTGAAATAGAAGCCAGAGTTCAGGGTGAGGACACAGTAGAACAAAGCCCATTGGTATGGGAGAACTATAATAAATGGCATGAACAAAGCATGATCATTTCAAAATGCTTGCCAAATGTGACTTGATTGTCACTTTTCTTGGGAATACAGCCTTGCGACTGAAAAAAAAAATAAAAAAGAGAGAAGCTGGTGATCACTTTGGAATTAAAGGTTTAAGATATGACATGGGGAATTAGGCATGGGCCTCCATTAGCACTAATGTTGACCTCCATGCATCATTCTGAAAATAAACCCTATCTCCAACTCAGCCAGATTTTTTTCTTCCACTGAAGAACAGGCATAGATGTCTCTGAGAAGAAGAGTAGATCTCATGACTGAAAACTTTTGTTGTTGTTTTCAAATGCAGTTGTAAAACTGAGTGATGACATTGGTGTCCACACCTGAAATATTTACAGATTAAGCAAGTGCTTAGTTTTTATGGTGGCGATAAAATATTGCTTAGTATTTCCTGGTAAATTTTTAGGCCTCAGTAATTATTATTAAAAAGAGGAGGAAACAGGGAGCTATAGCAGAATGGAGACTATAGTTCATAAACCCTGCTTTTTACCACGGATTTACAGTCAAAAGACTGTTCTGTAACATTCAGGCCCCTTTCAATAATCTTTATCATAAGCATGTGCTTTTGGCAAGTAGCTCCACTGAAGTCTGGGCAAGTGATGATGACACTTTGAAGTCAACAGGAGCATAGGGTGGCAGTAAAATATAATGTGCAGAGCACTAAATTGGGACTCAACATCAAGTCTCACTGCAGCACTGGGTGTGATTTGGATTCTCCCAGCCTCAGTTTCCTTCTGTGTAAACAGTGATGATCTCTTTTGTGAGGTTCTTTGACATCTGCAGAAGAGAAATACTGTAAAAAGACTTGCTTGTTATTATGCATATCTTTGAAACAAAGCTTAATGCTCCAGCGCTTTGCTGGGTTGGGGTGAATGTGCTTAGCACTTTGTGTGATCAAGCTGTAGATTACATAGGCAGTGGTTTGTAATAAGAGCCTTATCAGTAACAAAAACCCTTCTGTCATTATCAGACAAGCAACAATCCTATTTTAAAATGGTTGCCAAATGTGTTTATTTGAAGATGGTTGTTTCTAGCATGGCTCAAACCATTGTGTGGCAAGTGTTCAATTGCTTCCCACTAAAGCCAACATTTGTAGCTTGGAAAACTGTTAGATAAATGTCAGTTTCTGCCATAATTTGTGGAATCAATACAAACTGAGTCAAAGAATCACAAACAGTAATGTGAAAATAAAATGATCTGCGTTATGGTTTTTAAGTAAATGATGATAAACTAATAAATGCCATTAGCTGCTGCCATTACTTTGTTGAATTTAGCTGATGTTACTGTGTTGACTTTAAAAGCTATCAGCTTAACTATATAAATCCATTTGACATGTCTTTATTCAGATAAAACTTTAATACTGCAAGTGTAGCAAATTAGATGCAAATGCTCTTTTTATTTTAAGTATATTTAAAGCTGCCTTTTCAATGCAAATTTTACAGGAAATCTCAACAAGCTAGGACAGACATCTTAGCTGTCAGCGTGCAGCACTTTCATTTCGGTCTCAGGCATGGGAGCTGCGTTTTGTCCCTGCAGACTGAGATAATTAAAACTACAGAGAGATGGTTTTAAATATACATGATACACAGTTACTTAAATTGTGGGATAATGCATAAATGCAGCCCTTAACATTTTTGATAGCACAACACTGACCAGATAACATAGCAGAGTGAATTGTAGGGAAAAAAATTATTTTTGTGTGAACAGTTTAATGGTTTTCTACTTTTCACCTGAATTATTATGGAGGCACAGAAATACCAATTCAAAACCCGGGCTGTGAATGCCCTCATTAAAAAGATACTGATACTATTAACTTTTTTTTTTTTTTTAATTATGCTTTAACTTCTTTGTTTTTGAGCAGCCCATAACCTCCTTAGAATACATATCTATTTCAGCTTTCATTTGCTGAACCCCCTGAATGAGTTTATCCAAACAATGTGAATTTACTCAGATCTTTTTAAAATCCCACATCTCTTGTGGTTGATAAAGCTGACTTTAGCTAAGAAGAGTTGGATCAGGGTGATTTAAATTTCACAGTGAAAATGATAAGGGCTTTACTAGAAATAATAAGCACATTCAAACACTGTCATGGGCAAACAGTTGAATGTGCAGTGAGAAATTTGGCAAGGCTGGTCTTTTTCAGTGTTGATTTAATGAAGTAATGGATAGTAAAATAGAAAAAAAGAGATACTTGCTTTCAGAGGTAAACTTATGTTAATTCCATATCAGTAGTTTTATAAAGCTTTATTCATTAAAAAGCAGCATTAATGCTCTAATAACTTTTAAAATGTCATGCTGTTTTAAAACAACAAAAACCCCAAACCAACCCACCAGCTAGGGAAGAAGAGTCTATTTTGGCAGCTCTCTACAAACTGGCTGAGTGATACCCTATTATTGTCATGAACCGCATGTCAGTTTGTTGAGCCTGAGGATAACTTGTGTTTCAGGGAAAGAAAAAGAAAAAAAAAAAAAAAAACCACACCACCCCACATCTACTTAAGCTCCAGGGCAAACAATAATGGTCCACAGTTTAAAATCGTTTTGAACATTTGCTTGTCCATTTAAACAACACAGAGCTTCACCTTTCTCATTCAAATTGGGTGGGGAATCTGCACAGCCCCAACTGCAAAGGAAGGCTTGTCTGGAGCTGTTACATTTGCAGGATCAAAAGGTTCAAATCTATGAATCCAGATGTGCTCCTGAGCGATACGGCCAGCACGGCTATTGAATGGGGCAGGCGGGAGGGGAGCGGGCAGCACGGCAAGGAGCAGAAGGCGAGGTTATTTTTTGAGGCAGTCGTTCAGACGCTTTATAGCCGTCATTAACGGGGTTTGTGTACGGCAAGGAACTGGCATCCAGAATTAGTGAGGTCTGATCAGCGAGGCATCTGGAAAAAAAAAATAAATCTACTGTGTATGGCACTTTCAAGAAGGGGCGAGAGAGAAGAAAGGGGAAGAAACATCACTGTGTTGCCAAAGGGCTGAGGTTAAGAATCCCTCTGTGCAATTTAACAGTTTTTAATTCCTACATTTTAATGCCTCGCAGGCCATTGTGTCAGTCTACTTTAGCTCCTTCAAGGAGCCATC